GCGACAAGCTGTGCACCTGGTGAGCGCGCGGCCCGCTGCTTCCACGTGGAGCCGGGCTCGCGTCCTGGAGAACGGGCTCGGTAGCGCGGCCGGGCTGCGTTGCGCTCGTGCCGATGGGCTGGGAGCTCTGGGCGGGGAGGTGAGGGCGGGAACGGGAACCGAGGGTCCGGGAATCTCGTGTGCGGAGCCGGAGGTGTGCCGGGTTGCGGGGTTGTGGATGTCATCTCACGTGTCCGCTGATGCACCGTGATTTATTTGTTTATTTTTAATCTTAGCAATTCTGGCTTAGTATTATTTTTTCTGTTTTCGTCTCTGTCAACTTCGCGGCAAAGAAGGAAAGGGAAACAGGAGGGAAGAAGGTAACAGAACCAAATAGCTGACGTGAGTGCGGAGTCTAGAAGGACTTCCCTTCCTCTCGTCTCTGGAATCAGCTCGGGGCTGAGTCCCACTGATGTATATCGCTGAGCGCGGCAGCGCTGGTGAAGCATGGAAAAACTGGCGGAAAGCAAGCGGTGCAGGCATGGCACGTGTCCCTGCGCTAGTCAACGCTGCCTTAGTGAGTGCAGATGGCCTCCTGCCCTCAGCCCTCGGGAGTTTCCGTTCACTTAGAAATTCAGTTTGCGTCTGAGGGAGAAAATAAAGAAGTGTCAATTTAAAAAGCTTTTTTGTGGGCTCCGGATGTGGTTTCAGGTAAGCACTGCACCGGGCATTCCCTGCTAACAAGGAAGCGCTGGCTCCTTGCATCGTGCTTACACTCCAGAGTGTGATGGTAGGGATGTGCGGGGATTTGTGCTGGTCGAGTACAGACCTATTCTGAAGTGTGAAACCTGCCTCTCTTTTTCTGGTTACAAGTTTTCTGTTCCTCCTGCATTTCAGGAGTGCCCCAAAATACAAGATGGAACTAGCAGGAAGTGCTCAGTAATCTCACAGGTACTGATGTTGCCAGATGTTGCCAGAGGGCTGTATTGTTTAGTCTGGGTGCTGCTTCAAAGGAAATAGAGCTCTGGCTGTCTTCAAAGGCTTCTCTGTTGCTACTGAATTTTTAATTTTTTTTTCCAGGTGTTTGGAGGCTCTGCCACTTGAGATTTAGAGGCCAGAGTTATACAAACGTTTAACGTGTACAGTAGACTAAATGGACTTTGTTGTTTTTCCACTCCAGTTTGTTGCCTTTTACAAATTAATTGACCTCCGTTTCAAAGCAGAACGCTGAAACACTGAAAAGGTTGACCTAGAAAAACCTTTTTCTCCTCATAATAATGAAATAGGCTTCATCTTGCACTTGTGTTTCCTGTACCGATTCACATAACTATGCGAGGTGGTTCAAACAAAGTGGTCTCTCCTCTTTCTGTTTCCCTCATTTGGGAAGGGTTCAGTAGCTGAAGCTGAAATGTGAGTAAATGCTCTGTTTGAGGTTGCCAGGCTTGACCTGTTGGTGTTTAACTGGTGACATCAATAAAATTTTTAATTTTAGAAGAGTGTTTTTTTTTTTTTTTTTTTTTTTGTGAGGAAAAAGATCACATGAAAATTACAGAGTTTATTAAGATAATAACCAATAAAACCGTTAGCAGTGGGCCTATTAGAGGTTCTTGAACTTTCTAATCTATGAACTAAGTATGTTTTTATTGTTTTGATATGCTCTTCCTCTGTGTTTCACCCGGAGCCACAGAGCCACCAGCCTGGTGTTCTCAAGATGCTGAAGGCTGTATGCCAAGTGGCTGGACCAGCAGTGGCCATGGAACACATTGTGCCAAGTTCTCACTTGTTCCAAAAATGTCTCTCAGCTCTTACAGGAATAGTCAGATAGGCTGTATGGCCTGATGGTATATCAGTTCAGTTTGGTGATCTTACACTGTTATTTCCAGCCTAAATCAGCCTTGATTCTAAAGGGAGAGATGAAGTGATAACTCAATAGCCACTTGCCAAGCGGTTTAAAAAAGCCAAAACAAAAAAAAAAAGCAAACAAAAAACCTATAATTCTGGCAACAACAAAAAAAGCCCCACACCACCAACAAAAAAAACAAACTTATAACTAAAAGGCTGTCTCAGACCACTTTGTGTCATCAGAGTCCAGAATGATTTAGTCCTTACCAATGCATTAAAAAAGAAAGACCAATTTCTAGCATGGAAGAGTTAATTATTAATAATGTTTAAAAAACAAAAACAAACAACATGATGAATTATTAAGAATCACATTAATCAATAGCTATATCATGAAGTGAATGGAAACAGATGTCTTGCATGCATTTTTCTGATAAGAAGTTGTCTTGCAAAATGTAACCAATAGAATTTAAATTTTACTCTGAAATTTGGCAGAGGACAAAGCACTTTGGGTAAGGTTGATTTGGGTAAGGTTAATTTGCTGTGTAAATTTGGTGGGCACTGAACTCATACAACACAAGGAAAGCACTTGAGCACATGTTCCATGTGGGTAGCCTTACCGTGTTGAACTGCTGCTTTGAGCACTGGGAATGTGCTCTTGGTTTCTTGGTTTGAAGAAACTCGCTTTGGCATGAAAATCTGTGAGTAGGAGAAAAATAAAGAGAGTGAGGCAGAGACACAACCTTGCATCCGCCTTTAGTGCTGTAGAAGGGAATGCAGTAGGAGTGCCTTGGCATACATTAACCACGTGGCAATCGTTGCTGATGTGGCAGCCACCAAGTGAGCAGCTCTGCAAGTTCTGGGCCTGCTGCTCTTCCCCCTTGTAACAATGGGAGAACATAATTTCCTGAGTGCTTTAAGCTGGAGAAACCTAGTTGTTAGGATAGCTGAGGGTCAGCCCTATTGAGAACCAGGCTGGTTTTGGTAACTGGTGGTTGAAGCTGATCAGTCATTAGCAGATGTGAGTGTCTTCTTGCCAGGTTATTATCCAGTGTGCCAAAATGCCGCGTGTGGAGACCTCTGCTCTAGAGAAGTGCAGGTGTCTGGGAGATGTGAGGGCTGCCTCTTGCAGAGCCTGTGAGAGTGTTGACCATCTTGACTCAACTGAGGCCCATGTTGAACAGGCCCAGGCCTGCAGGGTGCTCCTGCCTGTGCTGCTGGAACCATGTTTCCCATTGCTCCTGTTCACCATGTTATTCCTCCTCCATATTGTAGTGAGACTTCTCCTCATTGCCTATGGGGTGGCAACAGGAGAGCTGGGAGCAGTGTTCAGCTTCCTGGAGGGAGGAGGGAAATCTCATCTATGAAAATTTAGCTGGCCTGTGTTATGTTCTGAATGGTGCCGAGTGGCCTGAGTTCTTCAGGTGAACATAAAAAGACATTTCTGCATCAGTCAGAAGGAATGGCCAGGATGCGTGCCAGATCTTTGCTCATATGTTCACCAAGTGATACAGTCAGATCTTTGCCAGAATAAAAAGTAATCCAGTATTACGGAAGTAGAGTAGCTTCACAGATTTTTTTTTGCTTTTTATTTCTTTTTGTCAGCAATCATTCCTTATGTAGGTGTGCTTTACAGCAGTGTGTACAGTTAATTGTGTGCTACAAAGTAGCTATGAAAAAATTCTAGCTGAAGCATGGGAAACACGGTCTCTCCTTACTTCAGCGCTGAAAGTGCTGAAGATGAGACTGCTTGTTCAAGCACCAGAATGAGGCATTCACACTTGACAGTCTTACAAGGTTGTCACAAGATAAACTGACAGTGTGGATGTGCACCATTACTGGGGTGCTCAAGGCAAGCTATAGCAGAATGTAGTATTTGTCTGTCTTGGAAGTAAAGTACCGCGGGGCTCACAGAGATTTGCTGTCTCATCTAAGAGAGTTTGGAGAAAAATGTGTTTAGCAGCAGTTAAAGTCAGGTGAACTCTGAGATCAGGCTGAACTGAAAATGAATTTCAATTCAAACTGCAGCAACTGCAGCAAATTTCAGCGCAAAGAAGTCATGTTGCATCCAAAGGGAGGCATGGTTTGAGTTGGCTTTGACTCCCCAGAGCACACCCTTCTTGTAGATGACATTGGCAGCTGGATTGCACGTTGAAGCTGGATCACACTGTAGCTGGATTGCACATCATAGCTGGGTTAGCTGGTGATTACTACATTCAAGTGACACATTAGAAAAAAAACAAGTGGTATTACTTTCTGGTAGTGTGTCTGGAATGACTTGCCCTGTGTTGTCAGTGGAGGGCTGTGGGCACAGGGTAGATGTAGAATCCTAATGAGATACTCTTTCCTTTCTCAATTACTCCATAGGAACAAATTTGCTGCGTTGTGCAGCCAGATAAATTGTCATTGGTAGTCTTCAGAGTAAACAAATTTAGAGGTGGACAGACCCACGCAGGCAATGCAGCACTGAGGTGATCTCGCTGTGCATTGCTTGTGAGCGTGCAAGCAGTAAGGTGGTAGAACTCTGCATAGCTTCAGTGGCAGGAAAAGGATATACAGCAAGCTTTGCATGGCTCTCTGTGTAGGGACATGTAGGTTAGTCACTTCATACTATGGGAGGAACTGCTATTGAAAGAGCATGAGATTTTCTTTTCCCCTAACTGTGAATTGTACTTTAGAAGGTAGCGTGATTGTTGGCACAGATGTGCTCTTAACTCCATCATCAGCTGCACCAGAATGTAATCAATTGTAGCAGAAAAAATCCACAGTAAGTATTGATGTTTTTGTATTTCCATAGCACTGCTCATCTTAGGGACTCAACTCACTTGCAAAGGCTCAAATCTTCTGAGATAATTGTTGTGCCACTCTTCACACTGCAGATTCCTGATGACCAAAGTTGAGATGAGGCAGTGGAGAACAGGAGGTGTAACTCAGAATGCGCGTGTCAAAATGTGATGAGAATAGATCATTGGGCTGAGCCTGCCCAGCTGAGTTGAGTGGAGATGCTTGCAGCATACTGCAGTCTTTATTAGCTGATTTGGACCAGCCTTACCAATTTTTGCTGGCTGTTGTGTGGTCGAGACCTTCAGTATAGACACAATGCTGCTTGCTGGTGAAGTGAAAGAACATCGATAGGCAGTAAAAAAAAAAAAAAAAAGAAATATCAATCTATAAAATGGCTTTTTCCCTGTAAAATAATTAATGAATTGGAATGTTTAATTCTAAGCTTACTTTGTTGTCTTTCATATTTACAGGCACATTTTGAAAACAATCCTCCTGGGCCAGATGCTGTCCTTGTTTATCTGTGGGACTGCTGTTACAAGCCAGTACCTGGCAGAACAGTACCAAGTGAATACTCCAATGTTTCAAAGTTTTATCAACTATTCTTTACTTCTTCTAGTTTATACAACAATGCTGGCATTTAGGACTGGTATGTAAAATGTGGGATGAAAGAATCTGCTTCCTTTTTTTTTTTTTCCCCCACAGTTTGAAATTACAGAACTTACTCAATACTTGGCCTAGCTTTTGTAAAGATCCTGCTGAAATTACTGCCTTGCAATAACACATGGGAGTGAATTGCATTGTTACATGTGCACGTAACTTGCTTTCATTTCATATTTGTTTTATATTGTTCTTTTTTATTTCAAGTCCTGTGTCATATTAGGGGAAAATCGGCACTGTAAAAAAAATTCTTAGCAAGAGTCTGTTTAATATGGTTGCTATACTGTATTAATTTACTCTTTAAACATTCTAGTTTATACATGTATATATATCTTTGAAACAGTGTCTCTGCTTTTCACCATTTCTATGGTCTTCTCTCTGGCTATGTTTTACTTTTGTTATACTTTTTTTAAGCAGAGGCAACCCAAATTCAGCATCACAATATTACTTATACTTCTTAAAAGAAAGATTCCTGTGCAATATTTGATTGGAAAGAAACACATTGACTGCTGCTCTTTTCTAAACAGGTGGTGACAGTCTTCTTCAAATTCTGAAGCAGAGGTGGTGGAAGTATATTTTTTTGGGACTGGCTGATGTTGAGGCCAATTACATGATTGTAAAAGCCTACCAATACACGACTCTCACGAGTGTTCAGGTAAGGACTATCTCTATTTTGAACTGCTGCTTTGATTGCGGTTTTGGACTCATTTCTGAAATGAGATTCATAGGACAGACATGGAAGCTATTTAAACCTGAAAAAGCCTTTCAGTATCTATTTTCTCTGCAGTACAGAGAAGAGCATTCTGCAACATTTCCAGGAAGCAGAGAAAATTGGCTGATATTATCCATTGCCAACTCTTGAGTTGAACTCTAATTATTTTGATAGAAAGCACTTCTAAGAGTTTGCTGACAGCCACTCAGGGTTTTTTTTTTCATGACACAGTGTAAAGATTTTGGACCAGATAACACTGGCTCAGCTTGAGCTGTGAGTATGATGGGAGTGAGGTAGATCAGCCTGGAAGCAGTGGGAAGCTTTGCAAGATGTAACCCCACGTGTGAGGACATATTGGAAGTCAGCTGGTGTTTCTGAGCATGCGGTGAAGAGCCAGTGCTATGGCTTTTGGCTGTGGCAATTCAGAACTCTCTCTATGAGATGGGAGGGAGGTCAGTATGCCAAAATATCAGTCAATATTCATGTCCTCAGGAGTGCCAGTGCTTGATGCTTTATTGCTGCACTGGGACACATTTGTTCTAAAATAACAGCAAGGCTGTGGTGGCAGTTTTTGCCACGCTCCACAGACATGAACTATGTCTGCCAGGACAAGGGAGGGGACAGTGCAGAAGCAAGAATGGAGGGTGGCAGCCTATGCCTGCTTTTAACAGTGGTGAACCTGTGGATCAGGTCCTGGCCCCATTTACCTAAATAAAGGCATAATGTATCATACAAAATTGGCTGTTAGTTGAAAAGGAATGTGTAGATATCACTGTTCTTGAGTCAGAGTAACAAAAGTTAATATTTAAAAGAAATATCTATAAAGCAATGAACACCTGTGGTGTAGGCTTCCTTTAGAAAGCTGTGGTAGTGTTTTCTTGTACTGTTGAAGGAACAGTAATGTGCCTTAGGGGTTATTCTTGTCACACTGCCACTTCATAATTATGTATTATGGCTCATTAAGTCTTTAATTTACTTAAAAATAATGCCTCAGAAATTACAGACTTAAGAATGGTATGTTTCAGGCTCAAGATCAAGCTAAGCTGATCATTGAGATGCTGTTTGATCATACACTTTACAGCTGAAAAAGCCGGGACTTTGATCCTTCTCAGAAGTGGTGAAGTGTTCCCACGATATCTTTCATAGTCAGAAGAAAGAGTAGATACAGTGGGTCGAGTCCAATTGCCAGATTCAAACATTTACTAGATGTGCATGTGAGAACCTCCAGACTGCTGCTTCAAGTGCCAGTTCAGTAACTGTGAATTTACTGTAACTACCAGCTGCAGTCAGGTTTCTTGCACATTTTCTGAAGTCACTGGGTTGAAATGGGATTCAAGACAAAATAGCCTGCAGTTTACTCCCATGCAAAGCATTTGCTGTCAGCAGCCAGCATCTTCTGCAGTTACATTAGAATCTGTGGTTCCGAGCCTCTGGCTTCAGTAGTGGCTGTAAGTGGAAGCTCAGAGTGTGTAAGAGCAAAGCAGGAGTATTCAAGACTTTCCTGAATACAGTTTAATTACTATAAAAATGGTGGCTGGCTGGAGCTTTCCCTTAGCTTTATCTTTTTGTTTAAATGTAGGTTTCCGCTCAGCAAGGGACTTCCATGTGTTTTCACACAAACACAGGAAAAAAACCAAACTGCTTGGTTTTCCTTTAGTTATGAAATGCTAGCATTGCAGGGAGGGGTTGGAAAAATTTTTAGAGATAATATCAGGATGGCAACTTCCCTTTCTCTGTAAATACAGAAGAAGACTTTGGTGCACAGCTGGATCTGCTGGGCTGTGGCTGAGACTTCCTCAGTGCTGATGTGCTCCAGGCTGGAGGGAGGACATGGCTGTATTGCTGTCTGACCATGTATTTCATAGCAAAACTAGAAGTGGTGCAGCTATGGTTTTGTGTTGCCAAAGTTATTAGGCACAACTAGCATTTTCTCTGTTGATAATTCAGGTGGAGAAATTTTATAGGTAGAATATCAGTTTGTGGAAGAGTATGAACCTTCACAGGAGAAAATCCAGGCTGGAAGCTTGGCTTTCAGCAGGAACCTGCCTGTTGGGAACCATGGGGGAGAGTGTGCAGGCTAAGCTGCTTAGCTTTAGTGCTGGAGCCAGCAGTTACGACAAACCAGTGACCTCCTGCAGTCCGTGATAATTGATTAACCATGTATTAAAACATCTTTTAATGATTTACTCACTCTATCCTTAAAACCTTCTTATGAGCAGTGTGGCCATAACCTGGCTTGGGTCAAAACACTCATAAATCAGATCAAGATGTTACTGTTTTTTTTTCCCCCCCTGTGTAAAAATACAGGCTGGAATTGAGTAAGGTGAGTTTGCTGAGGCTCTACTGACAGTAGTAGTCAGTACGACAGTACTGCCATAAATGTCATAAAGTCTGAATAAATAAACTTCATTCTTTTAAACAGTTCTACTGACACAATTCATTGTGATGGTGTTTCTGCTTTGCACCTCTGTTATCTTGATCCTGTGCAGGTGAGAGCATTTTCTACCAAAGAGCTTTGTAATGTGGTAGATGAAAAACAGGCAAGATCAGTACATGGAAATCAGATACGTTTTTTCTGAGTGTAACTGCCCCCTGAAACAGATTGCAAGTGTGTGTTCTTCATCATTTGATGACTGGATGTGATGGCTGCAAGTCCACTAACCGGGATGCTGCAGCTCTACAACGTGTTATTGGTCTGGATGCAGCAATTTCCTATCTGATGTTACCAAAAGAGATCATGGCTGATTATTTACTTCTTCCTTACATCAATTTTTTTTTTTTTTCCCCAAAGGTTTTGATTCCATTCTCTGAGTTGGAAAACAGTTTGGAAGTTAGAAAGCTGCATGGTAACATCTCAATAAACAGGGAAGCAAAAGCTTACTTATTAACAGAGGAGATGTCTACTCTTGGGAGATGTGTGTGAAAACATTTTTTTAGTTAGTATTTTTGTAGTATTTCTTCACAGAGAAATTCCTATTTCAGAGAAGTCTTTGTTTAAGACTGTGCTTTCAAATACATTTCAGAATTGATTCAGAACAGAAGTGGAAAATCTTGATTCATGAGAGCTGAACCGTACAGATAAATGACTCTTCTTGATACTTGTCAGAAAAGTCAAAGTAGGGGGAAGTACCAGAAAATCACAGGGCTTTTTGTTGTTGTTGAGTTTGTTTGTTTCTTTGTTTTGTGTTTCGAGCCCAGACAAAAGGTGAGATAAAGTGCAGAAACTCATAGAATATTACTTTTTCAACAGAGTGAAGTTGCCCTGAAATACGTGATAGATGTATTACAACCTGTGTGGTTCTGAGGTCTGATGATACAGCCTGGGCAAGCCTGTTCCTTTATACAGACCTCTCAAGCTGGACAAGCTGGAAACAGTCCAAAGAACAGAGACAAATAGGTGGAAGGATTAGAGAGCACCATTAGGGTTTAATCTGTAACAACCTCTTTCATGCTGTACTGGTAAGGCTTTAATATTTGTAGCTATGAGAGTTCAACCTTGCAAGGCTTTATTGAGTCTGTTTTGTTAAAATCCTTATGGGCAGTGGCTGAACTAATGAGCACAAGAGTATGGTGGTAGGTAGAAGCTGGCAAAAGCTGACCATGGAAGGACTGCTGGTTCTTGCCTTTATTTGTAATGCCTCAGCCATGGCCCCAGTGACATGGACCCCATCCTTTGCATTGATTTTAGGAAGCCAGGTTTTAAGGGTTTAAGACTAATTTGTGAGCAGGCTTTGGAAGGCTAACTACATGTTCTGCTGTAAACTGGTCTCTACAGTACGGCACTCAACTGAGGCAGGTCAGAAAATCCACTTCATTTTTCTATAGTCAAATTAGGAAACAATGTCTATTTTGTTAATTAAATATTGAACCAATTATGATTAGCTGAATGTTCTTGATATTAGTTGGTTATTCTGGAACATTATGTCCATTTAATGCTGCTACCCATTTTTCTGCATTAAATATACAGCTAACTCTTGCTTATTTTTTTCCACTGCGACAAGGGAGAAATGAGTATAGCACAAGTGAGGCAAAGGTATGTAAGATTTTAGGAACACACAGGGAGGAAGTAATGAAGAAAGAAAACAGAAGCCAGTGTCACTGCTTGCCATGGAGTGCAGACATCCTTGAACTTAAAATCTGCTCAGGGCAATGTCTGCAAACACATCCAAAATGCTTCTGTGCTCCTGCTTTTGTGTGTGTTTGCTGTTCTGGCACGGACAAATCACAGAATTACCTGTTTCTGACTGAGAGTCAGCTTTAGCAGAGTAATGAACTGAAAAAGCATTGAATTGTACATAATTTTAGGAAGCTGGGAGGTTGAGAAGCTGACTTAAGGAAGCTGCTTTTCTCATCTTGTTCTCCTTTCACCAATTTTGCACATGCTTTTCAGCACCTTACAATGCTTTTTGGTAAGATCCACTTGAAGACAAAAAGGAAAGGAAAAGAGAAGAAAAGGAAAGAAAAAAGAAAAGAAGAGAAAAGGAAAGGAAAGAAAAAACCTGCAGATCTTTGCCTTATTTGCCTTGCCTTATTTTTGCCTTGGTGTAACATTGGATCATCTGTATCCTTCAGCACTTTTGGTCTTTAGCACTGTGTAAATGCATCCCAAACTTTAATCACAGATTTGAGGAGTGAAAGATGAGCTAGACAAAACGTGGAGGGGAAAAAAGGGAGTCAGTGAACAACCTCCTTGTACTGGTGTCACAGGAAGCGGCGTGGCTTCAGTGCAATGTCCTAGCACTAATTTGTGAAGCTGCAGGAATTGATTAGATCCGTCACTGCAGGTGTTTCCAGATTAGTGAGTTTTTTCCTAGAGGCAATGCCCACCAGCCCCTCCTCACTTTTGAAATGCATTTTATGATAAGATGTGGGTGTGATCCCTCCTGCACTGAAATGAATCCACAAGGGTTGTTTTGTGTCTTTCAGTAACATCTGGTTGTGATGGAAAATAAAATCCTGAGCATTTGTTTTCAGGATAGAGAAATCCAGATTTGGAGTGGCCTTCTAATCAAAATCATTTCTGTGCACACAGCTACTGGATTGTTTTGGGATTCCTGTGCTGATGGCTCTGTCCTGGTTCATTCTCCGTGCAAGGTACCGGCTGATCCATTTCATTGCGGTTGCTGTCTGCTTGCTGGGTGTCGGAACGATGGTGGGTGCTGACATTTTGGCAGGGAGGCAGGACAGTGAAGGTAAGGAACTCTGTATTGTGCAGGGAAAAATGGGGTCATGGCTTCCACAGTGGGCTAACTTGCAAAGGAGGAAGAGAAGCAAATGCAGGGGGAAGGGTGTAGCTTTCTTTTAAAAATGAAGAAAACACATTGCTATTTGAATTTCTTCTCCAAGAAGGCCCTTTTAACTGGGGTTAAAAGGGAAACACTGGTGCTACGTTTCATTCATTGCTGTTTATCAGACCTGATGAGAAGACTTACTCCTGAAGGCTTGTTCATTTCATATGTGAGATGGTCTGAGAAAAGATGCCTCCTCTCCCTACAGACTTCATCTTATTGGCACTCTGTCAGCCTGTGAGCAGCCTTTTCTAGTGTGCTGTTTTCTATGTGCGTAAAAAGCAGGATAGGAAACTGTTGTTACCATGATCAGGCAGTGTACAGCTAAGCCTTGTTGGCATTATTGTGGGACCTCTGCTTTAGGTAAGGTAGAAAGATAAATTCAGGTTAAGCTTTAATTCTGTGTGACACAAATATCTTGGCCCTAAGGGAGACAAATGCTCTTTCCCTGCAGGGCACCTGAGCATTACTCAGTGACTTGCTTGTTGTTACTGTTGGTTGCCTTCATATTGCAGATCTGTCTTTGCAGTGATCGCCAACTGGCTTAGGGAAGGAAGTTTGAAATCAATTCAAGGTTTTAAACAACAGCAATTGCCTTGCAGAATGGCTGATCTGTGATGGCGTTTATTGATCACGGTTGTATTACAGGGAGTCCCACTCGCATGGTTCACACACATCACAGCATGACATGTGTGCCACCCATCTACAGTACCTACTTTAGATCTGCCATAAACCTGAAACTCAGTCCAGGTGCCACTCAAATGAACAGATGCATTTTTGCCTTACAGCAAAATCAGGGGTGATACTCAGAAAAGTGTAGAGCATCTCTAATCTGTACTTTTCTCCAGTTTTTCTGCCTAATGTTGGCAGAAGCAGGACTGGACCACACTGTACAGCAGTGGCTTGGTAAGTGTCATGCTCAGCTCCTTCCAGATTATGCCAGATGTATGAGCAGTTAGCAGGGTCAGCCAGCAACCTGCTTGCACACAGACATTTCCTTACCCCTTGCTTGCTAAGAAAATAGATACTAGAGATACATTTGCTTGTCTATTTAAGGAAAGTTGTTTTTAAAAAAGTGTTTGCAGCATTGCCCTTATTGTGGATTAATATTTCTGTACAGGAAGTGACGTGGTGATTGGAGATGTCTTAGTTCTTCTGGGTGCTTCTTTGTATGCCATATCTAATGTGAGTGAGGAATACATTGTGAAAAATCTGAGCAGAGTCGAGTTTCTAGGAATGGTGGGCTTGTTTGGGACTATTATCAGCGGTCTGCAGCTGTAAGGATCTAATATTTATTTTAAAACTAATTAAGACTATTCTACAGATGATTGCTTGTCTTCAATGAAATTACGTTGTTAAATTAATTCTTTGTTGCCTGTCCATTTGGCCTACATGGGACTCCTATTTGAATTTTATTTTTGTGGCTGGTCAGCATTCACTTTATATCCTTTTTGTTTGTTCTGCTGTTACTACAGCAATTCTAAAGCTCAACTCCTGCAACTGAATAGGTATGATACTTGGCTTTATTTTGAATTTGGTTGACCTTCATGAGGACATGCAGTACACTGAGGACTGCTTGCAGGAACGTATTTCTTAATGGCTTTTTCCTGTGGAAAGGTTTAGGAGGTAATCATTAGAGGTCTTGTGTATTAAACTTTGGTTTAAAATAAAGCCATGGATACTCTTACAAATAACCCTAACAGACCACATGCCCTTAAGTCTAACTAATTAATTTTATGTTCTTAATTTCTCATCATTATAGTTAATGATTTCCTCAAGTGCTGTATGAAATAAAAGTAAATCTCTGAAGGATGAAAAAGTCTGAGAAGAAGGCATAAAAATTAAATAAAAGTGCTCTTCACTTTCAGGCACTTTAGTTTTCAAGTCTTTTTTCAGGCTTTTTAGATGTTGGAGTTAGTGCCATTCAAAAACATTTTAAACATAAATTAAAGGATTGCAAATCAAAATGTTTCTTATATATTCTGCTCATTAACTTCTCTACTTGAACACAAGTAGGTGTGTTTGTTTATTTCTTTTTTACTTGTTATATCTTTTCTCTAATTTTAGAGCCATTCTGGAGCAAAAGGATATAATGAAAATTCAGTGGAACTGGAAAATAGGTATGTGTGTAGCAAAAGGATGTTTCAGAACACTGAAAAAATGATCATCATTTAGATTTGACACGCTGATGTTTTCATTTGCTTTCTCTGAATTTTAAGCAACATTCTTATTATATTGTCACAAATTTATTTTCTGTAAACTTTGAAGCACTCAGCAAAGACAAGGTGTGCAGTGTTGAACATGGAAATTTGAGTTCAGATTTTGCGTTTTCCTTATAAAAGTCCAACTCACTTAATTACAAACATGTTTGGCCTTGGAAATTTGCAAGAACATTTTTCTGTTGTCCTTCCTATGTGAAATACTGGGAGAACTGGTTTTGTGACTCATTTCGATCTCAACAGAACTGTACATTATTAGGAAATGTGATTCCAAATGTCTTCAGACAGCTGCTGTGTTAAGTAGGGAAGAACAAGCAGAATCTTGCATAGATACAATCATCTTTGCAATAGTGGGTGGTCTTGGAAAATAAGTATTTTGTTGCTTTTTTCTTAAATTTACATTTCCTTATATTTTAGCAGTCCTTATTCTGAAAGATAAACGTGTAGAGTTTTGAAACATCTGAAGAATGTCAGTGATCTGTAAGATTATTATTCTCTGCCTTAGAAGTAAATTGCCATTTTGTTTTTCAGCATTACTGTTCATAGTATTTGCCCTGTGTATGTTTGGGCTGTACAGCTTCATGCCAGTGGTGATTAAAGTTACGAGTGCAACCTCGGTCAACTTGGGCATTCTTACTGCAGACCTCTACAGTCTTTTCTTTGGACTCTTCTTGTTTTACTATAAAGTAAGTAATTTCTCTCACTATAATTAATGTTTTTATTCCAAAAATATAGATAAGACATTTTATGAGCCCTTGAACGATTGTTTGCAGTTGTAAATTTCTGTATCAGTCATCATTGACAGATGTCAGTCAGGACTCACAGTTAATTACCTAGCATTGCACCATCAGGCAGTTAAGTGATTTTTTTAGAAACAATTTCATGCTTCATGGGCTGTGTATTCATTGAGAGATAATAATAATTTCCCAAGGTAAATAGTAGAGTTTTTGCCGTACTCCCTGTGCGGAGCTCTGTGGTTGATTTGGTTCATCTCTGCAAGCATCCAAAGAAAGGGTTTGCATCTGACTGTTCTGAAAGAGTAGCAGTTTGGCTTGATTTCCATAAATCAACATTTTCTTTTAAAAATGTAATGTGTTCATTACAAACATAACAAGGAGAGGACTTGAGTTCTTAGTACTGCTGAGGAGTAACTAAAGGAATTGAAAAAAAGCAAAAAAAGCAGATAAATGTATTATTCTGATTGCTGTCCAAAAGGCAATTACATTTTCTGCTCTCTGAAATACTTTTTGTAATGCTTGTTCAAGCTTAATGACAGTGCTGAAAACGTTTCATCCCACCCAACACTTTCCATCCAAAATCATTGTGGGAACATAGCAAATTACAGCGATTGGAGTAATTAAATCAGTTGCTCAGTGACTAGAGGGGCTCTATGAGAAGCTCGTGAACTTTGCTTAAATTACTTAATTTGTATGTGGTTACTTTCTCTTCAGCATTATGGAGAACCAGTTTTGGAATGGTAGGACCCAGTGACAGCTAGATGTTAATTTTCAGGAGACTCTTACCTCAGTTTTCCTCTATGTTTTGGGTTCCAAAATTTGCTCCAAACTGCTCAAAACTACAGAGCATCCATCGTAAATGAGTATAGAAAATGAACTGTACTTACATTTTAAGAATTAAAAATATCCTTTCAAAGTCACTTCCAAAAATATATTTTGGAAAGTACAGATTTGTACCTGTGTTTAGAAGCAATGAAGCAGCCAAAAAAGGGAGCGATAATAATGCCACAGCCCTCAAGAGATGTCACCTGTGGCCTTCAAACATTTATGTTGAATAAACTCCTTTGCAGAGAGTATACTGAAAATGCAGACGCTAGATGGAGTTACAGTCCTGTGGTAATACCTCAAGTATTCTTTCAGCTTGGTATTGAATAAGGAGATATGACCTGTATGGACTAAAATCAGAATCTGCTCAAGGATGGGTTAATTCTCAACAGTCTCTGGAGTCATCAGCATCAAGTGCAGCCACTTCTTTGTGCATGCTGTGAGAGGGGTCTGGCAGTGACTGAATTTCCCAGCACAAGTGTATGGTGACATTCAGTCACATCCTTAGATTCTACCCTGGAAAAGCTCTGCAGATGCTGTGACACAGACTGAAGGAGAAAAGCAGATATCACAAGGTTGGGGTGCTTTAGCTTGCTTTTCCGTTAGTGTGGTGATTTCCAGGGATTCCCTAGCCAAGTGATTACCAGCTAGGATTTGGAGTGACTTAATTTTGGTTCCCTCTGTCTCTTTTGGATCAATCTTTTGCTATTTCAGCTCCATTCACTTCATCCAGCTTTGCTGCTTGACTAATATAACATATTTTTCAAGGAAATCTTAGGAAGCTGATGAGATTCCTGGCCTGCATTAGAAATACTGTGGCCAGCAGGAGCAGTAAGGTAATCATCCCCCTTTATTCAGCACTGGTGAGGCCGCACCTCCAGTATATGTGTTCAGTCTTGGGTTCCTCAATACAGGAAAGACATTGAGGCCCTGGAATGTGTCCAGAGAAGGGCAACAAAACTGGTGAGGGGTCTGGAGCACAAGTCTTATGAGGAGCGGCTGAGGGAGCTGGGATTGTTCAGTCTGGAGAAGAGGAGGCTCAGGGGAGACCTCATTGCACTCTACAACTTCCTGAAGGGAGGTTGTGGTGAAGAGGGATTTGGCCTCTTCTCCCAGGCAACGAGCAGGACATGGGGAAGTGGCCACAAGTTGTATCAGAGGAGGTTTAGGTTGGACATAAGGAAGAACTTTTTCTCTCAGAGAGTGGTCCGGCACTGGAATGGCTGCCCAGAGAGGTGGTGGAGTCGCCGTCCCTGGCAGTGTTCAAGAGGCGTCTGGATGACATGCTGTGTGATGTGGTTTAGTGTTTGTGGTGGCAATGGTGATGAGGAGACGGTTGGACTGGATGATCTTGTAGGTCGTTTCCAACCTTGTGATTCTATGATTCTATGATTTGGGTACGTTTTGGAGTTTGGCAGGCTGTGTTGAAAGTAGAAAGTATTGCAACCTACCGTAGGGAACCTGCTTTAGCAGGAAGTTGGACTAGATGATCTCCAGAGGTCCCTTCCAACTGCTACAATTCTGTAGTTCTCTGAAGATGTGCTATGTCCATCGTCCCACTTCTTAATCTGTGGTTTGGCAATGCAGAAGATCTTAACAAACTTGATGAAAAAGTGTTCTTGGCTGCGTATAACTTCAGCACTTTGTATTATTGAATCTGATATATGAAGAAAGCATTTATTTTCCTTTCAAGATAGACGAATCTTGGCAGTTGTTAGACTTTGAACAGGCAAGTGAGTGATAGTGAATCAAATGTGTGACGTACCTCAGCAGTTTGTGACCTTACCTCACACACTAACTCTTCACTTGCAGTAAGGCACCCAGGCACCCACCTTGTAGAAGGTGCCACGGTCATCCTCTCTTCAAGGACTTGCTGAATGTAGGGAGGAAACCAGTTTTGGTTCCACTTACTTGGCTCTGCAGATGGTTGAGCTGTGCAGAGAGCCAGATGCTTTGGTGAATTGCAGGAGGGAGAGGTTCATTTCTTGCCAGGAGGTAAAATACTTGTGATAACTGAAATTCTCTGGAGAGCAGTGTTCTAGCCTTCACATGTATAAAAGCTTCCCTTAGGTATCACCACAGTTAGGGCCATTTGTTCTTTCTGTTGAAAATCGTAGATATTCCCTGCCCGACAGTACTGAGGAGGAGGTGCAGAGGAAAACAGCAGCTTATTGGTAAATAGAGTTGGTGAATTTTGATTTCCAGACTTGAGTATAGACCATGATGATCAAGCTTATTAATATATGTCTAAGAGAAAGGGTGGCTTTTGCCTTCTTAAAAGAAGGTAGTGTTTGCACCTTTTTGCATGACTAAAGACTTAACACATCTTTTTCCTCTGCCAGTTTTCAGGTCTTTATATCCTGTCCTTTGTCATCATCATGGTGGGCTTCATCCTGTATTGCTCAACTCCAACTCAGACTGCAGAACCCACCACCGTGCCACAGCCATGCAGTGCTGGCTTGGACAATGCTGCTCTGAAGCTTGATGAAAATGACAGCGAAACGCCAGCTGTAACCGTACAGTTTACAAGAGGAGAATCCGTGGTGGTCAGCACTGATTGAAAAATGGCAGCATTTCAAAACAGAGCTTTTATTTTATTGCCAAAATTTCCTTCAAATATTAATCTGGAGAACTGTTCTACTGCCAGAGCGTATGTTGTACTGGGCTGTTTTTAATGCACTGAATAAACTTTTTAAGGCCAGATCCTCAGTCAGTGAAACTATATCGATTTTCTCCTGCAGAGAATCTGGCCCTTGAAGAAGACAGAGTAATATTTATGTGGAGTCTCTACAAGGTGAGAGACTGTTATTTTTAAATGCTTAATTAGCTTAGCAGCAAATGCTTGGGGAGAAAAACTAAGCCAAAGAAAGTTCTCAGGTCACTAAATGGAGTAGATGTGCTTTATATTTCATTAGGGACCTAAATCTGCAAGGTGTCATCTGAGGGCTGCTGGTTCCCACATCTCAGTGCCAGGAACCCTCGGTGTCTTGCAGGAGCATGGGATCTCATGGGATCTGGTGCTGTAAGACGTGTTATGTGCACACACCTTCCACGTGCTGATGGACCTTATTTGTCCACTGGAGGCATTTGCGTCTTACATTCCAGCTAATGTTTGTCTCTTCATATTGCTGCATTCTTTGTTGCAGCTGGGGCTGCAGCAGAGAACAAGTATTTTATTTTCTATTTTATTTGTAAGGGCGGCTTGTATATGTGTGTTTGTAATTTTTTCTCTCAGTAGCTTGCTGTTTGGTGCGCTCCTACTAGGTGGAGACAAAATCAGTAATCTGTTCCATAAGAACTGATTTTATTTCTTCTGGATGAGACAGCAAAAAGAAGTTTGAATTGAAGTTCACTTCTTGGCGAAGTTCTCTATGAGATGGGACAAATTTATGCGGAAAGATTTGAATACAAGTGGCATTTCGTAAAACAGTTTAAGGCTTTAGCCAATCCTCATTGCAACAGTAATGATGTAGTCTTCTTAAGGTTAGATGCTTTCAGGAGATTCATTAGTAGTTTTCTTCCCTGTCTTTATGTTTTCAGTAAAATGATTAAAATACTTGAAGCTGCAATTTTAACATCAGTAAAATAATGTAAGGATCTTTTTTTTTGTATAAATCTTCACAGTTCAGGTGTGCAAAGTAACAGTGAATAAAGTTTCCAGCAGCTGAAGAGTTGGCTCTCAATTTATTTATTTTTTAAGCTCAAATTTCTTCTAGTGCTTAAACTTATTTCATTTTCTTTACCCAATGATTTCTTTAATGACTAAATTTTATGATAATGAGTAAACATGTCAATTCCTGAAGATACTGATAATCAAATGACACAGACCGTGTGCTTTTGGTGTAGTTCATTTGAGTGAAATGTTTAATAAAAAATCTCACTCCATTTTATTCAGCAACAGCAAAACATTCAGCTCATACTAAAGCAACAGACATCACCTTTTTACTGAGTGTTTGGTGCATGGGAGGGTAAAGAGATACTGATGTTTTTGTGAAAAGCATTTAGGCTTAGTTATCTCTTGCTTTACAGTTTGGGTTAGATTCTGGTGATAGATGAAGGTACCTCAGTTGGTGCATCTGTAGAAATCTGTACATCAGAAGGTGGACAGAAAGCTAAAGATCAGGTGAGGAAAAGTCTGGTGGCAGTGGATACCTGGGAGAGGCCGTCTGGGTGAAGTAGTTCTCTGTACCTAACTTTTGATGCCTACATTCTGGAGCTAAATGCCACCCACTGCTACCTGTGTCATAAGTTAACTATGTGCAGTTATAAAACAAATGGCAAGTAAAACTTACAGAATCATTAATGTTGAAAAGACCTCTGAGATCATTTGTCCAACCGCCAGCCCATCCCCACCATGCCCACTAACCACATCTCTCAGTGCCACATCTCTGCGTTTCCTGAACACCTCCAGGGTCTGTGACTCCACCACCCCCCTGGGCAGCCTGTGCCACTGCCTCACCACCTCGTGAGAGGAAATGGTTCCTTATTTTCAGCCAGAACCTCCCCTGCCACGACTTAAGCCGTTGCCTCTTGTCCTATTGAATCTATAGGTGAATGTTCCAAAACTGCAGAGCTTTTGGCCTAGGGTGGGATTTAGCTCCTAGGTGTAGCTGGCTATATAGTTTGTGTAAAAGATTTCCTGTCGAAAGGCACCGTATGCAGTCTGTGGCATCTGTAGGGCCTAGCAGATAGGAGCCAGTGTTGAGAGGAGGCCTCTGGCCTGGAGCAATACGTGGAGGCCAGGTGACACATCCCAGGTTCTGCAGGACAGCACTGTAGCCTTTCCTCAGACTGCTGATGCTTCCCTGATGACTGTTCTGTGCAACGTATGATCTGTAAGTATTTAATGTTGACACAGCTGGAATTGGGTGCGGTGAATGCCAGGTGAAGCAAGCCTGCGGCCCAACTTGCTGCATTTTCTTTCTGTGGTCGCTGGGTGGCATTTCAGTATCTGGAGTTTGCTGAAGCAGCTTTATGTCTGGTGGTGAGATGGGCTGTGTATGCAGCGTGTGCCTTCAGCCAGGCTGGCAGCAGTGAGCTGAAAGTGTGCTAACCTTGGAAAAGGAAAAGTAAGTTAGCTCTTAAGTTGCCAGTGTCTAATATATATTCTAACATTTCCCTTTGCAAGAAGACCAGGGGGAAGATTTTGCCTGCGTGTCAAAAGGCAGACCTCAAAGGGGATGCTGTGCCACCAACTTGTGTCAGCAGCCCACCAGCTCTGGTCCCCACCAGAGACCCAGCTGGTGTCCCTTAGTGGCCAAGTGGCAGAGCTGAGCCAGAGGGGGTGTGACAGCTTCCACAGGGGAAAGCTTACCTTACTGATGAAGAAGCTGCTGAGTTCCACTGTCCTGAAAACAGTGTATATCTTTGCTTCTTAGTGTTCAGCCGGTGGCTGCCATGCTCCCAACTTGTATTTTGGGCGAATATATGGAAATAATAACACACCTAGAAATGTAACGTACTCCACTCTGACAAGCGTGATCTTTGCTACGTGGCAGTGATGGTACAGGAGAACCATCTAATTAAAACAGCTTGGTGTGTGCAGTACAAATGGAGCATCATCCAAACTGAAGTAATGAAATGTGTCAGTTTCTGCAGCAATGCTACTCAGTATTCAGAGTGGAACAAGCCCATGGTCTGGGTGCACAGGTGTTTTTGCAGCTGTGATCAGAGAGATCTTACCTGATCTGAGGACATCTTTTAGAGTGATTTCCACACAAGAGGTGGAAATCACGCTAGGGGGAAAAAGGCATAACTTTCTCTTTTCCTCATTACTCACTCATTTTGTGCTGGGGCAGTGTCTGGCCACAAGTGATTGTGGCATCCTACCATTCTTTACTGCCTACTGTGTGGATGAGGAACTATGAGATATGCTTTAGTAGTTTGTGATAGCAATAGTAATGGGAGCACGGTTGGACTAGATGATCTTGCAGCTTGTTTCCAGCCTTGTGATTCTACGATTTTACAGTCAAGAAAAAGAGTTTTATCAAGAAAAAAGAAGTGATTGCACTTGCTGCGTTGCCTGTGTGTGTCCATGTGACAGAACATATATTTGAAGCCTAGATTTGCAATGTCCAAAGCAAAAGGCAGTGAACCCTGGAGCCTGCTCTCCATGAGATAGGTGCTAGACTGTCCACTGTCTGTCCTGTGGTTGGGAAGGAAGCAGGTACAGGCTCTCTGAGAAAGACTTACTGCTTAAGAGTGTAAGTGACAGCTACATTGCTCCTGAGGAAGTAAATATTCAGTTAATGAATCACAGATGACAGATCATCTGGAGCTTCTAAGAGAAGGTGCATGGAAGTTTCTTTCATGTGTATCTTGTTAATAGTGGAGTAAGCTGGAGAAATAATCCAGTTGTCACTTGCGTTAAACTGAAATATTTCAATGAAAATGTGTGACATCCAGCCTTCCTCCACAGTTTGGTTACAAGGACATCAAAAATTATTTGGCATCAGAATGTCATGATGTATTGGAAAAGGAGGAATTAGTGCAGCAGTAATTGAATGGTGACATTATCTGCACTAGAATTTGAGGGAGACGATGAGCTTTTGGACATCAGCTATTTTAAGGTTTTTGACCTTTCATACATCACACACATTCAGTTCTATATGATGTGATGTCTGGGACAAGCATATCAGTTCTTGTCAGCAGCATTCATTCTCATGTTACGTATTGTGTGCTTTTCATTGAGTTATAAATATCTGTCTTGTAAATATCCATTTCAGTCAATTTAAGAAGTTTGACAGAGAGAAGCAGCACAAGTTACGAGATCAGTCATGAGCAATTTTGGATTAGCAGACAGAAGATTCCTAAATAGCCAAAGCGAAGTCTCCTGGGTCTGTCTTGGTCTTTCACCAAAATGTTTAAGTTATTGACAACTTTAGAGTTAGATCTGATGAGAATCTGATGAGCTGTGATTTTTAACTACACCTAAACAGGCATTTATCGGACAAACAGCGTTGGAGGTGTCAGAGCCTGGCCATCCTGATTTACAGTCCTTGGACGGATCGATGCAGCTCTCCTATAGAGATGCAAATATTTCCTTACCAGAAGTTCTTATTTAGGGTGTCTAGTTTTGGGTAGAACCAACCCATTCTCACAGGTGTTAGAGTCTGTAGTAATGGATTATCCAATGTAGGGAATTAACCATTTATGGGGAAGTCAAGAGAAAGATGAGCTTAGCAGCTACGGGAAGCCCATAGCAAGTTCAGCAGGATTTGAGTGCACCCTTCACTCCTCTCTAGATACAATTTAATTTTTCTCTTGTATAAGAGTGTTCAAAACTGCAAGTTGTGGATTTTTATAGGAAAGAGCCAAAGGAAAATTCTTTCTTGTACAACAGAGGTCTAAACATTGCAGCTGGTTGCTTCAGAATAAAATTTATTTTTGTTAAGCTGTAGCATCTCTTCAAAGTCTTGATATTACATTCCCAAATACTCAATTCTGGAAGTGGCAGAGTTGAATTTTTTGTGAGCTGTGTTTTGGTCATAAAAAGAATGAAGAGCTCTCTGGGAGTAAGCAGCCTCTGGGAGCAGGTTCCCATGCCCTTCAACACTGATGTATTTTTGTTAAACCACCAGCTGGGAACAGTTGTGATTTTTTCATCTAAGATGTAGGACCTGGGGTCAGTATTGGCAAAATCAAGCTCATGACATCACTGTATTCAAAATAAACTTCTCTGCCTCATCTCCAGCTGATCTCTTTGGCTGTTGATACCAGCGGCAGAACTTGCACAACAAGGCTGAGCAATCACTGCAGCTACAGCTGATAACTAAGGGGAAACTGAGATGGAAAACCTTTGCACCTGGCTGATTGGTGGGTCAGAGCACAGAGCTCAAAGCCAGGAGTAAGGCTGCTTACAGCCTGGCCCACATCCCACCTGTAGATAGATGTAGGTAGGTCTGTAGATCTGTAGGTAGATAGGCCAGGTGAAATGCACTCTTCATATTCCCCCCTGCTGTGCCACCTCATGCCTTACCTTCTCCACCCATCTGAAATGCAGCTTGTCTTGGATGTGAGAATATCTCTATGCCAGCAGAAAGCAGTGAGATCATAGAATGGCTTGGGTTGGAAAGGGCATTTAAGATCATCTGGTTCCAAATCCCCTGCTACACCTCCCTCTAGACAGGTTGCTCACAGCCCCATCCAGCCTGGCCTTAATTGCTTCCAGGGCAGGGGCATCCACAGCCTATGTGGGCAACCTGTTCCAGTATCTCACTGCCCTCACAGTAAAGAATTTCTTCCTAATATCTAGTCTAAATCTCCCCTATACCAGTTTAAAGCCATTTCCCCTGTCCTGTTGCTAAATGCCTGTATAAAGAGTCCCTCCCCTATAATCATCATAGATCATGGAGTCGTAGAATATCCCAAGTTGGAAGGGATCCAAAGGATCTTCAAGTCCAGCTTCTAGCTCCACAGAGAATCCAATATGCTGTGGAGAATAAAAAGAATGAGATATCTGAATAAAGCAGGACCGCTGCGTGAATGTTCCAGAAGGCAAAAGCAGAGAGACTAAAGGGATAGTGAAGATGCCTCCACAACCAGCCCATCTCTGGAGTGAGCAACTCCCAAAACACAGCTCAAGCCCCCTTCTCTATAATGTTTGAATAATTATTTGCATCAGGTGTCGCTGGTGGGTTGGGATTTTTTTTTTTGCCAAATTTTTAAAG